TTTTTGAATAGGTTGAATAAGGAGATTGCTAATGTGGTGGAATTACAACATTATGTAGAGTTGGAAGATATGTTGCATGTAGCCATGAAGGTGGAAAGATAGTTGAAGAGGAAGGGAACTGCGAGGCAACCGGTGAACACTTCGTCTCTTAACCCAAATTGGCAGTCGAGGTGGGAAGGTAATAAGGTGAATGAAGCAGTAGATAAAGGAAGGACTGAAATGCAATGAGAAAAGGAAAAAAGTGCTAGCAAACCCATACCCAAGATGGAGTCACAGCATCCAAGGAATAGGGATATAAAATGATTTCGGTGTTTAGGAATGGGGCACATCGCTTCTCGTCCTAACAAAAGGGTAATGATTCTACGGGATGACGGAGAGGTGGTGAGTGAGAGTGAAGAAGAATATGACTACATGCTAGCGTTGGAGGAGGTTGATGGAGAGGAGAAAGTGGAATTTGCCGTTGGGGAACTACTGGTCACAATGAGAGCTCTTAGCATTCAAGTCAAGGCAGATGATACGGAGTAGCAGCGTGAAAACTTATTCCACATCTGGTGCTACGTCCACGATAATGTATGTAGTTTAATAATTGATAATGGAAGTTGCACCGATGTAGCTAGCACGACATTGGTTGAGAAATTGGGATTAGTATTATTTAAACACCCTAGACGTTATAAACTCCAATGGTTTAATGAAAGTGGAGAAGTTAGGGTGAATAAACAGGTGCTGATTGATTTCTGGATTAGGAGTTATAGTGACAAGGTTGTATGTGATGTGGTGCTTATGCATGCGGGCCATATTCTGTTGGGTAGGCCATGACAGTATGATAGAAAAGTTACACATGAAAGGTATAGGAACCGGTATAACTTTGTCAAGGAGGGACGAGCTATTATTCTTGCGCTATTAACACCGACACAAATTTATGAAGACCAAGTTAAATTGAGGAATGAGGAAGAGAAAAGAGCAAGGGAGTCTGGGAAAATGAGAGAAAATAGCGAGCTAGTGAGTAAGAGAGAAGATGGCTAGACGGCTAAGAGTGGGGACAAGAGAGAGATGCCACATGATAGGAGAGAAAATAGTGAGCTAGTGAGTAAGAAAGAAAATGGTTAGGTGGCTGATAGTGGGAGAAAGAGATAGAGGCCACTTGAGAGGAGAGAAAAATAGCCAGTTGAGAGGAAAGAAAAGCTGGAAGGGAGTTTCTTTGCAAAGGGGAGTGAATGTAAAAAGGCTACAATTGGTACAAGACAGATTTTGTTGTTGGTAAGCAAGGAATCATCCCTTAACTCCGAGTAAACTCACACACCCCTCCCTAATTTGGCTATTTCTATCTTGCAGGGTTTTGAAAATTTGGTCCATATGAGCATTCCTACTGGGACTCCACCCAATTCGGACAATGGATATCAACTTTTGCTTGAAACTAACCATCCCCACCCCAGTTTTGTTAATTCTTCATTACAGGAGATTGAATATGAGTTCCCTAAGGAGGCAAAGGAGTTTCAAGAGAAATGGAGGGAGTTTATAAGCCAAAAATTGAATATCAAATGGGGTATGAAGGAAAATCAGAGTCCATGTATTGTGCCATTATTACTATTGCCTAGGAAGGATGAGACATAGAAGAGGCACAACGAATCACCAATGGTAAGGTATTCCCATCTCATACATAGGTTGGATGATGGTTTAGCATGTAGGGATAAGTTTTCACTTGGAGCATGTAATTTTAACCTCACAACTACACCTTAGCTAGATTCTATACTTGATGATTTGCACGTGTCATATATTTGTGGTACACTTGAATATAAGGTCAACTATGAAATTTATAAGTGGTTAGTTAAGTTGTTTGAACTCACTAGTCCATCAGATACTTTCATGGGATTAAATATTCGTCTTTTGTATGCATTCATATGAAAAATTTTATTAGTTTATGACCATATTTTATATTACAATGGACTATGCATGTATGTTGAAGTGCGAGGTCACTTGTTACGTGGCAATACCATAGTAAGTGATAGAGATTTAGATGCGCGTGTTACATATTTGAAATATATTAATCTAGATCTACATAACTATTTGTGGGAAGTTGGATGGCATGTGTTAGGGATTAAATTGACAGTTTCTACTACTTATTACGCATGTTTTGATATGGCTTGTGGTTTTAATTTCCTAATTTTGTCGCGTTTAATTGCTTTAACTGTTGATGTAAGTGGTAAACTAGATGGAAAACAGGAGATTGTGCATGAATTGTTCAACGCCTACAAATGGAACATTCTTGGCGTGTACCATTGGATCCAAGCGATGGTGATTGGGTGTACACACGAAGATGGGAGATATAAACTCGAGTATCGTCCAACCTACACCCCAAAGGAGAAGGACCATTCCATTACATTGTTATGATCGCGAACGCATGCTATAGTCTATTTCTACTACGTAAGTCTATAATGGTTAACATTTTCAATGTTGCTAATGTTGCTTCGTTTAATGCAGGTTTGGATTCGAGGTCGAATCCTTTCGAAGAGGGAAGTGATGATATGATCCAAGGTGCCATCGAGACGAGAGCAAGTCTGGGGAAGGATCTATTGCTAGTAGAAGAAGAACCGATGACTCGATCGAGACGAGAGCAAGTTCGCGAATTTCCTTATTTTACTAGAATTCTTTATTTAGTCAATCTCTTACCTTATTTATGAGATTATGCATGTTTTCCCCTTGTTTCTAGGGTTTGGTATAAATACCAAAAACTTTCATTATATAAAAAAACTTTTGACAATTCATTATTTTGGAGAGGCTATTGTTTTGCTTTGTTCTTCAATTGAATAACAAATCGAACTTATCAAGATCTAAATCTTGTGGCGTTCAACTTATCAGATTGTGGGTTCTTCATTGTGTAGTCAAGGGGTTCAACGCATCTTTGTTATTGTTGGATTTTTTGGTTTACTTCGTTGGGTTCAAATCGGATCTAATTGGCTTCTTGGGTTCTGCATCAATCTAGTTGTGAGTTTCGTAGTCACCGTTGCTACGGGGTTCGTATCAAAAGGCTTATCAAAAGATCAAGTATACTGCCTATTGAATGGAATGTGTTTAAAGCCTATTATGAGATGATCTCTATAATGTTACACCTAACCTTGCTAAAGATCTTGGTTAAATGTGACAATTAATTTATAAAGATTCAATAAGTACTTGAGAGTTAACTTCTACCCCATTCCTATAATAAGAAAAGTGACATCTAAAGAAAGTTTTAGGTTAAGTTAAACTTTTAATGATTATTATATCTTGGACAAACTTTGTAGGGTATGACAAGTATTCTTAATAGGAGATCACTTATATAAGTGTGAACTCAAGTTGCTTCTATAAGAATATTTCAAAGCTTGAATTTTCTAAAGTACATATGAAATCCAAGAGTTGTTCAGAATAAAAATGAACACAACAGTGAAAATTCAAAAATGTTAAGGAGGTTATTGTGTGGGTACTATATTCATGGGTTACACCAATGACTGATAGTTCAAGATATCGCATTTACTAATTAGTTAAGTAAATCTAATAGTATTCTACTACGAAAGATTCAAACCCATAAGGTACCTATCCTCTTGCAATAACTTTCTGCTCGATCTCTCTAAGAGGGTCTGCATAACTTTGTGCATTAATTTCTATTTATGTAGGGAAATTTTCGAAATTTTGTTTACAAGTTTGTTTGACCAAATATTTGAGTAGATCTTGATAGTCAGATGAAAGATTTATTTGGCCACATATGTTCTACTACCCGAGTAGATCTACAAAGTATATTTATTTTCTTAAAACCAAATTTTAGGTGAATAGTAAATTAAGGCTAAAAAATGCTATTTGAAGTTGAAATAAATTGAAAATAAAAATTGGTAAAAAATTGAAAAAAGTATCAATCGCACATAGAAAAACTAAAAAATATATAAAACACTTTATATTGCTCAAGTTTGTCACTTGGATTTGGACCCCAAGAGGTAACATTAGTTTTTCAAGGGGAAAGAATCTACATAATAATTTTTTATGGCGTTGTATAGTAGTAGGTTAGCATATGTACGTGAAAGATCTTTTGTAATATGACTGTTAATTAAGAAATTTATTGAGAAAATAAAAGAATAGGTTCAATATGAAAACACATATTGAAGGAATTGATGAAGAAGATATGAAGAAGATTTATTATTCATTAAGCTCAATTATAGAAAATAAAAGAATAGGTTCAATATGAAAACACATATTGAATGAATTGATGAAGAAGATATGAAGAATATTTATTATTCATTAAGCTCAATTATAAAGGTGAATACAATGCTCTATTTATAGACCAAATTCTAACAAACCATCTAACAAACTAACTACACAACAACTGGAAGAATGAACTAGAAGGATATGGAATTGACCCCATATTTAGCTGAGGCGAGCTGCTGGTTTGCTGGGCATGCTGAACGTGTGAGGAGCTGATACTGGTTTACTGTAGATTAAATATGTAACTTGCATATATTCTATCAAAATAATCATTAATTTGGGAGAACACAAGCGACGTGTGGTGAAATTTGAAACTAAATTGACATCCAGTGATACTATTGAAACTAAATTAAAGTTCAATGATCCAATTGAAATATTAGAATGTAGTGACCCAATTGGGACTGCGAGTGAAAAAGGATATAATAACCCATAGCCAGTCATTTCAAACCGACGGTGCGAGCCGACCCTGAAACCCGGCCCAGTAAGTGCCGATTCTCGTCTTTTCTTCCTAAACCCTTTACTTTCCCCTCCCAAAGTCCAAACACACGTTCCAATTCTATTACAGCTCAACACAAATCAAGATGAGAAGTGGCAAATCATCCCTTGTTACACTAGCTAAGAAATGCAAGGTTGATAAAATCATACGCCAGTGTATGGCTTTTCATATTTTATGGTATAGTAGTTAATTTTATTTGTTTTTGCAGGATATATTGGCTTCGAATTGGCAAGGAAGACTTAACACCATAAAGGCTGATGCTAAAGGAAGGTTAGCAAAACAAAAGCACTCATTTATTGGTTGTTATTGTAAGCTGGGTTTTAGCGTTTCTTTTTCTATTTTTTGGTTTATGACTATTTTTGAATAACTGTGTGATGTGAATGGTTTCAGCAAGGATGAAATATACACTTCAGAAGTGAAATATTTTATGAGGAAAGGAAACCCATATATTTGGGTACCTGAAAAGGACTTGCATAATGTGGTATGTTTGTTCTTATGATTTTATTTTTCTTTTATGATTCTCGATTGTGAAACTTCTTAAGTGTCAGCGTTTGCTCAAGCATCATATAATTTTATCGGTTCTATTTGGATCTTACATCTGAAAATTTTCTACATGTGTTGCTGAATAAACAATGTTTTTACTTGAAAGACATTACATGTGCTGTATTTCTGTCCTAGTTGATGATTCTATTATTTTTCCCAATTACCGAATTCTTTTGTCTGTAAATATTGCATATTTGATTCCATCAATAAATCTATTCTCTTCCATTTATAGGGATTTATGAGTTATTGTGCCTATCCATGCAAACTAAGGGAATAATCTTTGTTTGTTTTGTCTAAAAGTCATGTTGATGTCTTGTTCAGTTAGGTAGTTTTTTTATCTTGAACATAATCGAATGGACCCTATAGAGCAGATAGTGCTCAGGTGAGGTTGTTCTCTAACTGTATGGGGCTATTATAGTATTTGTATAGTGTTTGCTGTGCCTTGATTTGGAATTTTACATTCTTGGAAGATGGAACTTTTATATGCTTATGCCAATTCTTGGAAGATGGAACTTTTACTAAAATAGATCACTATGTAATTTTATCAATATATGGCATTATCTTCTTTCCTTAATTGATTCCTTCTATAAAATACTGAGATTTAGATTGTACAAGATTACAAACCTAGTAGCTAGAATCGTTGTGAAATGTGGTTTGCCTAGATGTTATGTTTCAAATTTTTGTTTTTTCAGGAACTAAGGCGTCTCCAACCCATTTTATTAAACTATAGCACTTCCTTTATTTCCTTATTTTTAAATTATCAACAATTAATTTACTTCAAAAATTATTAATTAAAATTCTCTTAGTACTTAAATTACTATATTTACATTTTCGAAAGGGAAGCGAGGATAGGCAACAAATTTACCAAATCCAAATTCTACAAACTCAAAATGATTCAATAAAATTGGCTATGACAAAGTATTGAGAAGTAAATAATTTTACTAAAGGATTTGATTTCCATAACAGATCCAACTCTACATGAGTTTATTTTCGAAATGAACAAATAAGAGTTTTGCCAAAAAGAGCTCAACAACAAGGTTAAGGATCTGAAACTACCTGTGGTGCTTTTGTTCAGTATTTTGATGGTTTTGGAGGATCCAAAAATGATCTTCTACTATACCAAATTATTGTTTTGGTTAATGTTGTATTTTACTTTAAATTTTAGTTTTTAATATTTGCATTGTTGTATTGCTAATTTCTTCTTAATTTGTAATTATGAAATTTGTAAATTTTGAATTTTATCTAGTAATTTTATTCGTATTTAAAGTTATTGTTAATTACTTGATTGCAACTTATTTTAAGTGTTAGTAAAATTAGTAATCAAATTAAAAAATTATATAAATAAAATTAAATCATTAAGCCCTGTTTGGGATCCATTATAATGAGTTTTTGGGGATAATGTATTGTAGAATAGTAATTTTTTTTAAGAATGTGTGGTTAAAAAAGAAAGAAAAATTTTGGGTTTACCTTTTATGTATAATATTATTTTATTAAAGAATGTGGGATTAATATGAGGAGAGAGAAAAAATATATTAAATTATAATGGAGACCAAATGGGGGCTAAGTAATAAAAGGATATAATAGGAATTAAAATTTTTTGTAATATGAAACTTTGTTGCACTAAACTTGGTGCAACATTGTTCATTACACCAATTTGGTGTCAAGATTTGAAGATGGGTTGGAGGAGCATTTTCATACCAATTTGGCATAAAACGCCAAATTGATGATGGGTTGGAGTTCCCCAAGGGATGAGGATTTATTTGGTTGAATATGATATGCTTAGCCCCTGTTTGTTGTAGATTAAAATCAAATTTTTAGTAAATTTTGATAAAAGTTGACGGAATGAATGGTTGAAAAGTCGTGGGTCTCATAAATTATGTGGTTAAAATTAATTGTTGACTTTAACTTGAGATTAAAATCATATTTTAATTTGTACCAAACAAGGGCTTAAATTGTTGAGTTTAGCACAATTAGTAGATCATTCTCTCTCAACATAAATAGTATCATTACATGATTCATTAATAGCATGTTTGGCTAAGTTTAAAAGGTGAATCCTTCCATACTTATTCTTCTAATACTTATTCTTCTAACAGTCGATTCATTAAGTTTATGAAGGTTTTAAAACAAAGAAATAGTTTTAGGCACTCAAGAATGAGTGCAGTTAGGGTGTTATTATTAGTACTTGCAGAGCCACTGGATGCACTTAACACCTGTTTAAGTCATCAAAGTAGTTTGTAAGCTGTGGAAATAATCCTTCAATAATGCTAGTTGGGGACATGTTCTTGTACTTCATTCATGGATACATCTCATAATATGGTAAAAGGGAATGGAACTCGGTATGAACTCTCTTACTACACTTTTTATTGGAAAAGGGTAAGATCGAGGTTTTGATAACGCTGTGCCTGGTTCCAATAGTGTAGACAGATATCTGGAATTTGCCCTCACTTTTCATTTAATTTTTTCTTTTCTTTAATCATCTTTTCGGTTTCATGTAAGAGCTGTTTCTATTCCAGTTCAATGTCTCCAAAGTGATGTAATTATTATATTCTGAGTAAAAAGATTAATGTCTGATTTAATTCATTATTAATGGCACCACCTTCAAAAAAGCTTGTTGCCTGTATAAAATTGCTTGTTGCTATCCATGTTAGGTGAGTTAGTTATTCTAATGGTGTTTTGTCCTATTTCGTAAAATATCTTTCTTCTTCTTTCGTAGAACACTATTATTGATGAACGTGGTTCTTTTGCTGTGACCAGTCCTTTACCAGGTCTTCTTGCAAATTTGCTAAGATCTCTAAAAAAGGTGTGTAGAACATGATTGATTTTCTTTGCTTTGTTATTTGGTCTGTTCTAATAGGTTCATCTGGATGGTCCTCTTCATGATTTGTGTTTTTGGCATTGTTGCCATTCATCGCAGACTCACCTGATGAAAAAACAAAGGAAAGAAGTAAAAGAGACATGCATTCACCAGTTGCTTTTCCATTGAGATTACTCTGTTGAAATATAAGTTAATAGTGTGCATGCTTCAACATTCTGCGGCTGCAAAATCATCTTAATTAAACTGTTTTGCTTGGCAATATTCTAATTATAGTTGATTGTGATAAGTACCAAGTGTGGATTTAATGAAACAAATGAACAGGACATAAATTAGACTTCTGTAGTGATTGAATTCTGAATTACAGCAAAAAAAGAAATACAATAAGCTGTTTGAGAGGGCTGTAACTCTCCACAGTATGACTTCACTCGCTATTTTGCTTGCCTATTCTCCTCCAATCCTTCCCTATTTATAAGCTACTTGTAACTAATTTTCCCTCCCCATTGTACCCCTCAAAACAGAGTTTGTTGCAGCTCCGGTCTTCTCCGATCTTCTTGTTCCTTCAAGAATATGTTTATTTAATTGGGGCCTATCAGATTGCTTCAAATACTCCTAAATAGATAGATCCTGACTCTACCAAAATTAATAACTTGCAAACATTCACTTAGTTTTTATGGAAGTCACTGAATTGCATTAAACAAAATCATTTGAGCCTAAATCCCAGTTCTTTCCTAACTTCCTTTTTTTTCACATTTTTCTCTTAACTATATTCTTATTAAATTTTTCTTCATATGATGCAGCTACCAACTCGAGTTGCTCTGACCGGAGATCTTGTGCTCCTTAAAGATAACAAGGTATATAAAAAGCAAAAAATGCTGCAGCGCTATAGTGTCTTTTACATATACAGAAACATTTTTTCTTTATGACTCTGAAATCTAATGTTATTTGGTTTATTCTTAGGTAATCTCTTTGTTTTTATTTGGTGCCATTTTTATATATTTTCACTGTAATGGGATATCGACGAACATAAATTAATATTTAAGATAATATTAAACGAATTCAGCTTTTAAGGTAAGAAGCATGAAACACGCAATGAAGGCGAAAGTGTGTTGGACAGCAATATGTATCCAACATGGTCAGACACTTGTCGCTGTCCGTTCTTTTAATCTTTTAACTGGCAACCTTGTCATCTTGACATGGGAAGTTAAAATTGAAAAAGGAACAAATAAAATTAGGGTAGAAATCTGGAGCAACTTGTGAAAGGAAACTGAGCAAATTAGATATATTAAATCTTTCTATATATTCCAAAGTTCTATGCTAACTTAAAACCCAATTATATGGTTTGGCAAATTTACTGATTACCATTGTGAAAGGAAAATCTCTAGAACTGCAGAAACGTGTGGTGGATTATTTGTTCAAATGAGGATGTAAACATGGAGCAATTTGAATAGCATTTGATGGTGAAAAATTGTTCTAAATTGATTCCCTAATCAGGATAAAGCCACTTCACTTTCCTGACCAGTTGAAATGTGTGGGAGTGAAGATTTCTCTGACATGCTATGGTCATTTTTTTTTTGTTCTGGACATCCGTATACTCTTAATTTGATGACCTTTGATGATCCGTACCCTATCCCTTAATAGTAGTCTTGAATCAACAGGCTGACTGATTAATGTGGGAACAACAAGGCATCGTGTGAATTTACTCTTTTACTTCTCCCTTTCACAGGCTAAGTTAGCTGCAGAATGCCTTCAGGATACCATACTAGCTGATCAGAGAGCTGTTGAGGAGTCAAGCCACTCAGTTTCTGGTATATTAAGTTCTTCTCTTCCTTCTACATCGAGAAGCAAAAACCTCCTGGAGTTACTTGCCGACATTGAACAGTACACTGTGTACAAGTTCAATCCAAGGTCTGAATCTCGTGACAACCTTTCACTATGTATTTTCTAGTACATGCGTCCAACAAGCAAAATCATGAGTTATATTTAACTCTGTATGAACCTTAAAGTTCAGGAAGATGCCAGGGATTAGAATTTTTTGGCAAGTTGATAAGACACTTGAATAATCTCGAGCTGGTTAATAAGTTGGGTTGTAAAATTTCTGATATTTATCTTTGACCTCGTGAAATGACCTTAGCACAAGGCTGTTAGTACAATAGCCTATTGCTGCATTTTCTAACAGAACTGAAGCTTCCAAACCGTAAACTAACATTTGAGCTGACTATGCATAGCTCATGCACCTATATCTGTGGGGATGGAGGCAATCATGAAGTAGACCTGGAGCATTTTGAAGCATCTAAAGCGGATCCTTTGTGTAAGATCTGTTAAAGATTACATTTTAGTGATGGTCATCAAGTATACCTTTTCCCAACACTTATATTTATTTTCATCAGTGCCTTTTTCTATGAGCCTGATTGACGGGATTAATCAAAATGAAACCAGGCGCAGATCTCTAATTCTTTTCTGCATCACATTCCTCGACGAAAATGCAAAGGTAAGATACCAGTCCAATGGGCATTGAGTTCAGTAGCAGTTCCATCTTAGACACACATCATTTGCTAAAAAAAATAGAGTCCAGTGTTTATCCTTGTCGTGGGAAAATTCCTTGTATATTTTGTGCTTACGTGGGAGAAATTTTTTGAAAAGTGATTTTTTTGAATAGTGTGTGCTTAAAAAGTATGTAAAAGCTATGGGAAATGTGATTATTATTATTATTATTATTATTATTATTATTATTATTATTATTATTTATTTATTTATTTAGAATGTGTTATTAAAAACGAGTGCGAGGAAAAGTGATTTTCTGAAAAAATCACTCCCACACAAGGGCTTTATCTTTTGCTTCTCTCCTTGTAGGATGCTTTCCTTCTTTCGATAGATAGGAGCGGATTTGATGTACTGGCAAAAGTTTTCGGTTCAGTGAATAATGGCCCTCAGATGTACCAGTGGAGGGAGTTAAGATTCTCATTCAAAGAAGAGGCTCGTGATGTTGAAACATTCTGTCAACGGCTTGTTGAGATGGAAGAGGAAGCCCTAAAAAATGTCTCAAGTTTCAGTGGCATATGAAAGTCAAAATTGAAGTGAAAAGAAACGAGAAATTGAAAGTGACCACTCGTTTATTGTATTTGCAAATGATTTCATTGCCATTGTTAAATACGAAGGGAGTCATTGGATGAAAAGTGTATTTTTAAAGCAAGTGCTTACTGCCTGGTACTCTACCGGTGAAAGCATATTATATTTGTGGGTCGGTGAGCAATGGTTTATTAAAAGGATATTGCTATGTACATATAGCAATATCCATAGGTGTGTACATAATGTAAGAGGGTAGGGCCCGTGCTAACATTATGTACTATGCTATGTACAAATAGCATGATCGTTATTAAAATTCATTTTAACTTTGCCAATGCAAAAGCAGGGCCACCATAGAAGACTAGTATCTAGTGGAAGTCATGAAAGATTGAGGGTGGAGATTGCAGTAAACTGGAAAAATAGACCACAAGATGAATCAGTGGACGATGGGTGCATTGGCAGATGGAGGCAAACTGGCAGCTAGCGGCAGATGGCCGATCTACTTTCTACATGAGTGAAGGTAGTAGATCGTGGTGGTTTTGTAGCAACGCTGTGCCCCTAGAGAAAAAGGTGGCAAGAATGTGGTGTTAGCAAAATTGGATTTTATTAGTTGGTTTGACCAACTTTTGACCAATTATTTTAGTGGGTCCTTTTAGTTGGAAAAAAAGATTTCTTTGGCCAAGAGTGTTCTACTACATGACTAGATTAATGTTATTATATTTATTTTCTCAAAATCAATTTAGGGTGAATGAGAAATTAAAACCAAAAGATGATCACTTGAGGTTGAAATAAATTGGTGGGAAATTGAAAAAGTGCCAATCTTATATAGGAAAGCTAGAAGAGCATAAATCACTTTATTGCTCAAATTTTGGACTTGGGTTTGGACTCCAAGGGGTACCAATAGTTTTTGAAAAAGAGAGAACTTACATGCTAGTAGGTTGAGTCAAAACCCAAAGCGCACGCCGTCACCGTTCGACCGATCGGTCAGCTTGGCTTGGCACGGGTCGTGGGCTTGGACTTGGGCCAAGTTGATATATATTTTTTTGGTAAAATATTATTTAAAATAATAATATATTTAATATTATTTTTCTCAGAATTTTCTGTACATGACACGTGGATTCTATTAGAAGATGACGGTTGACAATTAAATTACATGACCAAACGGTTTGTGTCTGTTGAAGACACAACATTTCGACTGTTGTGTCTTTTGCACACAATTTTTCAACTTCTATAAATAGGCCGTCATACCCCGATTTTCATTCACTCCAAAGTCAATTCTAATTTTATTATTCTTCCAAAATTATTCATTCGTCTATGCATTATTCATAATTTTCAATTCAGCCTCAAAAATAATTTTCTTGCATTTTAGTCTTCCAATTTTTAGAGAGATCAAAACGTAAGTAGGTTCGTCGAGTCTTATAATTTGAAATGCTACTATTACAAGTCGAGCTCGTTGTATCTTGGGAGACGAGTGTCGGAATACCGTCAGCATCAGTGCGGGGCATTATTGTCTTAGGGAGAAAGAGTCGAACTCGTTTCAACCATTAGGTAAAATATAGCAATTAAAAAAGTGGACATTATTCTACCCAAATCAATTCATGGTGATATCATTATTTGCTAATAATCTTAAGACGATAATGGCAAGTAATACTACATTTGTCCCCCTAACAATGCTCACTGGGAGAAATCGAAAAAATTCATGAGAGTGGATTTTAAGAGATGGCAACAGAAAATGTTGTTTTATCTCACTACTCTGAATTTGGCAAAATTCTTGAGTGAAGATGTTCCAACTATTGAGAAGGAGGAAACAGATTCTCAAAAACGAGCAGCATTCGATGCATAGAGTTATAGTGACTTCTTGTGCAGGAACTATATCCTAAATTGCCTTGACAACATACTATACAGTGTATATAGTTCGGTCAAGACAGTTAAATCACTGTGGGAGTCATTGGAAAAGAAGTACAAAACGAAAGATGCTGGATTGAAGAAATTCGTTGTATGCAAATTCCTAAACTTCAAAATGGTAGATTCTAAAACAGTAATGAATCAAGTCCAAGAGCTACAAATCATCCAGCACGATATACATGCAGAAGGTATGAATATCTGTGAGTCATTTCAGGTTGCTGCGATTTCGAAAAATTACCACCAATGTCGAAAAATTTCAAGAACTACCTGAAACATAAACTCAAGGAAATGAGACTTGAAGATCTGATTATATGATTAAGAATTGAGGAAGATAATCGAAACTCTGAAAAAAGAAATCTGGAAAGCTGCAAATAGAGGCTAAAGACAATTTGGTGGAACCAAATACTAGCAAGAAAATGAAGCACTTGGGTAATGGCAAACAAAAGAGCAAGGCCAAGAAATTCAAATGAAATTGCTATAACTGCGGTAAGTCTGGTCACATTGCAAATGACCGCCGATAGAAAAAGCAAAACAAAAAGGACCAAGTACATATGATCGAGGAAAACAGACTGTCTTACGGTGTGTCTGAACTAATGCTCTCAACTGTTGTATTTGAAGCAAACGTGGTGGACAATCCGAGAGAATGGTTCGTTGATATTGTCACTACCCGTTACGTTTGTGCTGATAAGGAGATGTTCTCATCTCACACGTCTATCAATGGACGAAAACTATTCATGGGCAACTTGACAACATCAAAAGTTGTTGGTCTAGGTAAAGTAGTGCTGAAGATGACATCAGGGAAAGAAGTAGCACTCATCGATGTGCTGCATATTCCCGATATTCGCAAAAACTTAGTATTTGGAGCTTTGTTAAAAGTGGGTTTAGGATAATATTTGAATTTGACGAGTTTGGGCTCACCAAAAATAGCATGTTTGTAGGCAAAGGGTACTTAGCTAATAGGCTATTCAAAATGAATGTAATGCCTGTACTCCTTAATTTTGATATTAATAAAAATAAATTTTCTGCGTACTTGATTGAGTCTTCTAACTTATGACATGAGAGGTTAGGACTTGTAAATGTTAATACGTTAAGTAGTAAGTTTAGATTTATTGCCTTCTATTTCCTTTGATCAAAATCATCGGTGCGAAACACGTGTAGAGACAAAATTAGTTAAAACACCATTTCATACAGTTGAAATGAACTCGAATTCTCCAAAACTAATTCACAGTGATATTTGTNAATTACAATTCTTAGTAACACAATTTCTAGACAATTCAATTCCCTATAAACATTTTCTTTCCACTCATTTTCCACATTCGCAATCAAACGGACCATAAGATTAGAATTGTCCAAAAATGATTATCACTTGATGTGATATTTAATATATTATAGATTTGTTAGAAAATGAACTTATGATATTTAATTAAGCAATTTCAAGCCGAGAAGCTCTATTCTGAAAAGAGGTTATTTATAGTTAAATTGAATCTATTATGCAGAATCATACCTGGAAGTTGGTAGATCTCTCACCTGATAACAGACCATTAGATTATAAATGAATTTTCAAAAGGAAATTAATAACCGATGGATCAATTAATAAATATAAGGTCGAATTGGTAGCTAAACAATTCAAACAAAAAGAAGGTTTTAATTTTTTCGATACATACTCATATGTGATAAGGATAGCATCTATTAGAGTATTAATTGCAATTGTAAAATTGCATAATTTGGAGATCCATCAAATGGACGTTAATTTTTTTTTTTTAAAATGGTGAATTAGAAGAATAACTTTACATGGCACAATCTGAGGGATTTATTACTCTTGAACATAAGAAAAATGTGTGTAGACTCGTTAAGTCATTATACGAACTAAAGTAAGCGTTAAAACAATGGCATGCAAAATTCAACAAAACTATGTTGTCAAATGGTTTTAAAATTAATGAGTGTGATAAGTGTGTTTAAATTAAAACCACATCAAGTGCATATGTAATCTTATGTCTATATGTTGATGACATACTAATAATGGATAGTAATTGTGATATCATAAAAATACCAAGAAAATGTTGACAACACATTTTGACATGGAAAATATTGGTATTGCAGATGTAATATTAGGAATTAAAATCCTTAAAACGTTTGAAGGACTTGTCATATCTCAATCTCACTATATTGAGACTGTACTTAAGAAGTTTCATATATGTGATGAAAGTTTAGTTAAAACACCGGTAGACTTAAGTCTACATTTGGCCAAACATAAAGGCGAACTCGTATCTCAACTAGAGTACTCTCGGATAATAGGCAGTCTAATGTATATTGCAAACTCCACTCGTCCGAATATTGCATATGCAATGAACAAACTTAGTTGATATACAAGTAAACCAAATAATGACCATTGGAAGACACTGGTAAGGGTTCTTAGATATCTACGATACACCTCAAATATTGGATTATATTACACTAGATATCCAGCTGTATTAGAAGGATACAATTATACTAATTGAATATCAGATACAAAAGACTCAAAGTCCACCAGTGGGTATGTTTTTACCATTAGTGGTGTGGCAGTATCTTGGAAATCCTCCAAACAAACATATAGCTCGGTCCATGATGAAATCTGAGTTCATAACTTTAGATAAAGCTGGAGGGGAAGCAGAATGACTTCATAATTTTTTAGAGGATATTCCATGTTGGCTTAAACTTGTGTCTGCAATTAGTATGCATTGTAATAGTCAATCGGCCTGAAACCATGATATCCGTTGCGTTACTCTTTATCAACGAAATATTAGAAATCGCAAATCTTTTATTAATTTGAGGGTCGCCGATAACTAACAACGAATCGTGTCATAGGTAAATAGTAAACCTTTTACCAACGACTTTTTCTTTCGTAAAGTGTGAACCTTTTTACCAACGGAAATTCCGCTGGTAAAAATCTTAACCATTACGAACCAATTTTCCGTTGGTAAATGTCTACCATTTCAATTGGTAAAAATCAGAGTTGCACACAACGTCATAGGTATGGGGCATGGCAAAAAAAATTATTTATTTATTTTTTATTACAGTTCAATAATTATAATTTTTTTTTTAATTTTAGCCAA